ACTTCCGGCCGAATGAGCCCGTAGCCCGCTCCCGGCGCGGCGGGTCCCCGGCATAAGTTTTTGCGTGTACGTGACGCGTACGTGACTGCAACGGGCACGAAGACGGGAAAAAGTCAGGGTCGCTTAATACCGCGAGAGATAAGCGTGAAATGCCGCCTGTGCAACCCCGGGGGCGACGGCGGTTTGCTTTTGTAACTTTCGAACGATTCTCTTGGCCCCGCGCAGTAATTTCCTTGATTGTGTCAGCGGGATGTAATATTTTTATGGTTTACACGGCTTTACGTCGCTTCGCAATCGTGTCACATTGAAGCATGAAAGACGCTTTTGTAAAAAAAAAAAACCAACAATCTTTGTGTAGCCGTAGATAAGTTATAAACGAACGAAGGTATATAAACCGACGACAAAGATGTTATTGCATTTTTTCTTACGGAAAGATACTTATAAAGAGCTTTTTAATCGAAAAGAAATTTCGTCCACGAGATACAATCCATCGGATATATTTTTATCAATACGATTATTTGACTTTTTATAGAAGCATAGAGTGATCATTATCATTGGCTCTTATCGGCCATACATTATTTGCAATTTCGGATTAGTGTAGCAAATGTTATTAGCATATTAATAGAATCGATGAGTCCTCTGTATTTACAAGGATTTTATGAAGATTTGCATTTATATTTTCTAAATACACGCGCGAGATGCACATCATTGATATTAATATCTCCAACACTGACTAAAGATGTTAAAATCTTCTTCAAAGTTAAACGCCTGCAGTACGAATTTCCTTTTCGGCACTAAAGACGTTGAGAGTCGAAAGGGAGTACGGAAATTGGCCACCGACCTAATCTCAGCCAAGCTTTTCAGTCAACCCGCGTTTCACGGAAAATTCGTCCCCGGGAACTCACCGACGTTCTTGTCTTTGATAGTTCGCGGCGTGCATTTCCACGTCGGCAGGCTACGACGGAAAGATCTTCTATACATATTATATATGTGTGTGTGTGTGTGTGTGTCTATATATATATATATATATATATATGTATATATATATATATATATGTTCCGTATGCCAGAAAGTGTCTGCCTTGCAGTGCTTCCTAAAAGCTTCCACCTCATTCGTCCTGATGTGAGCAAACCCTTGTGTATCGAGAAGGGTGAGTTGGTAGCCAAAAATCTCGAGAAGAGAGCATCGGCCGCGTCGGATTTTTCTATCGGCTGCGGTTGAAGGGGAACACTTTGAAATGCTCATGGAACATTTTTGGAATAATAACGCTACGGCGCGTGTGGAATATAAAGGATTTTGCAAACAAAGCCGTGTAATAAAGATCAAGATACAAAAAGTATCTCTCAAATCGGAAGCAAATGTTATTTCAAAAAAAATCAATATTTACACACAAATGTTGCATAAAAATATCTAGAGGATTGTTTTTCTGCTCCCGTTTTTCATTACTTTACTAATTGAATTAATTAATCCGGGCTAGCCATAATTGGGTTAATTAAGAGAACAATCTAGCTCTAATTCTGCATCTATTCTCCTAAGTAAATGACTCATTTTATGATCTGAGCACTCATTTTTTCTTTCCGAATATTTTTGATATTTTATTTTTCAACTAACATTTTTAATTTCGTTTATTTTTCTATTACTAAAATTAATAGAAATTAAAAGAAAAAAGTGCGAATGTAATACTAATAGACTAAAGAAATTAAAAGTCTCAAAATTGAGAGAATCTACTGAGCGCAACATTAGAATGTGGAAAGTTTCTATTAGGTTCATTAGGATTAGAATTGAATCTAAAGCATTGTTTTAATTACATTTTTTGTCAAAAATTTCAATCACCATTTCCAAATTTTGCCAAGATGAAATTTTATAAAAATGCTGGTATATTTAATAGAAACGTTTAAAAATGAATCTATTTTTAGTTTTACCTAAAACTTTTCAGTTTTATTTAAAATTCAGAAATAATTAATAATTGTTTGCATTTATACTGTATGAATAACTAAGGCTATTATGATTAAAATTAACATTTTAGCGTGTAATAATTTACTTTAGTTTACATTTTAACAATTTCAATGGAATTTAATTAAATGTTTATTTATATAAGGAAATGGAGTTTATATAATAAGAGGGAAAGAGAGAGAGAGAGAGAGAGAGAGAGAAAAAGAGAGAGAGAGAGGAAGATAATTATTAACTTTCTAAATGAGCTACAAACATAAATATACAAGAATAATTATTCAAAATTATATATAATAAGTATTTTACAGAATTAAACTGTTATCGAGAAAACTTATTTAAATTTTTAGAAATCTCTCTCTCTCTCTCTCTCTCTCTCTTATATTATTTTATAGAATCTCAATTAATTAAAAACTCTTCAATCAAAATATAATGTCATCAATAGCTTTTTTCTCACGCAATATGTATATAATAGACAAAACGTTGTTGCTTTTCGAATTTTGAAATCGAATTTTTACGTCTTTTAAAAGATTTTTTTTCGTAATATCGTCCATTCTTGTTGGCCCACTTTGAATTACCCTCATGAACCGAGCTGAAGCTGGCGTGTTGAGTGGAAAACTCAATCTGTGCTATCGAATTTCATGAGATATTACACATAAGTCGTTTCACAATTGCGCATTGATCGCTTCTATGAACTGCGGAAAAATAAATTATGATACGAAAAAAAGTATAAAAGATTACCAAAGCAATTTCTCATGAGCACTTTTTCCTATATTTTTACTCGATAATATCCATTATATCTGTATAAGATTTTTTTATCTTTCCTATTTTTGGCATTTTTTAGCGCTTCTAATTATTTTAATTTTAATAATTTTAGATAAATTATATACATAAATTATATAAGCACATGTTAGGAATAATATGCACTTTTATAATAATCGATTCTTGCTAGTTTATCGTGATTCCAAAAACATTCTATTCATGAACCTCTCAAAAGTTCTCAAAGTTATTAAACAGCTATTAAAACTATTAAAGATTATATTATTTATCCATCGTATATATATTAAGTATAATAAATTTAATACACACTCATCAAACGCTGCGTAACAGATTATATATTGTAATCTTATGTGAATAAATATTCTTTACAAGCACTTTTCTAACAAGAAAAATTATTGAATTTCTAAACATTTGAATTAATCTTTTCCGAAAAGCAATTTTTATTTCAATTTATCATAATTTTAATTATTATTTATTATTGATTATTTACTTGCGCGTTTACTCTTGTGCGAGGATAACGCTCCTACTAAAATATAAAAAAGTACACAAAGTAATTTATTCACTCACGATTCGATGTATCCGTACATAATATGATTGCAAGAATGTGGATTCAGGAAATTGTATGAAAATATTATTTTCATGGAAATCTTGCTACAAAATGTAATAATTAAATGAATACATAAAGTAGATGAAAGTGTTTAAAATATTAGGGTCTCTAAATGGAATATTTAAAGTCTTGTATCTACATATAATAATTTATATGTAAGAAAATTTAATTTAACTTACTCTAAAATGAGTAAAATGGAGAGAAACATGAAATGATATTATTTTTTATTATAAACATATAAACATAATTTTTTTAAAATAAAGAATACTTCATGATAACTTTCGCTAAAAATGCAATATAAATTATATTCGGGACGATAAAAGATCAAGCCGAATTAATGATTCTTTAAAAAGAAAGCCTTTCCTAAAATTAAACTTTCGTACATACATTTTGTCAAAAGTATCAAATCTGCATAAAATTTGTCACCGCTCTAAGTTTTACACGAAGTATGCGCAATCAAAGAACGCACGAGTTTTTCTTTCAAAAGACGTTTTCCGGCGGTAATCGCGACGTTCCGTGATGCAAATAATCCTTTCGCGTTCACGCCGGTAGTCTATGCGCGCCCGAGCATGTTACCGTTGAAGAGGCGCATAAAGTAAGAGGGATGGGCCGAGACTCGCACGAGGACGAGCCGAGAGAAGATCGCGAAATGTGTCTAAAGAGCGAGTCTAGTGGAAAAAAAAATGGCGCATATAAGGTGCAGGAAGCGGAGGGTGCAAACTGTCAGATACGAGCGAGAAAAATGAAACGCGGGAGAAAGCGAGCGCGGATGGAAGGATGGAAGGAGGAAGTAGAGAAGGGTTGCATAGAGAAAGGGATGAAGAAGTGAAAGAGAGAAAGAGAGGCAGAGAGAAGTCGGAGAGTATAGAGAGGTTTACCGCACATTCACCAACCCTCTCTCTTTCTCTCGCAGTTATCCGAACGCTCGTCCTCGTCCCTTCTCTATCTCTCTCCTCTCTTTGTCTTTCTCTCTTTCCAGTTACGTTTTCTCCTCTCATCCCTTTCTTGTTCCTATTTCCATCCTTTTTTCTCCTCGTCTCCCAGGTACTTTGGACATTCGCGTTTCTTCGTCGCCCTTTGCCCGCCGATCGTTCTTTCTTCGTTTGTCGTTTCTCGTCCTCTCTCTCTCTCTTTCTCTCTCTCTCTCTTATATTCCCGCGATGCTTTCGCTTCTTCTTCGTCTAGTCCGCCTTTCCTCTACCTGCATCCATCTCCTTTCTCTCGCATCGTCACTCTCCCTCTCTTTCTTCCTCTCTTCCTCGGCTCTCGCATCTCGCTCTCGCTTTCTCCATCCCCTGTACTCAGGGTCGACTCTCTCTCCCACCCGTCGAACGCAGTGCTACATCCCCCTCGGTCCCGCGTCTCCCACGCTTCCACCACTCCCACATCTCGACATGGTGTGAGCTCGCAGTCCGCCGGCGACTCTTGAATGAGAGCGACGGGTTCACAGCTCCCGAGTGTGCAGCGGGTGTCACGTTTCCGTAGACGGAAATAAACGTACGCTGCGCGTGGCATCGGTGTCAGGGGGCGATCTTTGTGCGTGCGTGCGTGTACGTTGCGCGACGTGTGTACGATATATCCGGCGACCGCTCGCATTCGCTCCGACTTGCTAGGGTGCAGTGCGCCTCGTCGGAATGCCAAATAAATTTCTGTGTGAGTTCTTGAATGAGAATTACCCGCAGAGTGAAGGGGTAATCGGTAACGACGGGGATTTCTCGTTAAACCGAGCGCTCCAACAGATATATAAATATAAAGCAACAACAGAATTTTCGCGGCTAAACCGAGCGACGTCTGCTTCCACTGGCGCGGAATCAAAACCGATGAACGAGAGAGGAAAAAGAGCGAGAGAGATAGTTATACCACGACTTTACTCCAATTATTCTTTTAAAGATTTATTTTCTCTGTCGAGCAGAAAAGTTGTTCGCACATGTTTCATTACGCGCATTAATAACGTTGCCGCGTATTTGTTTCCTAGAAATATTGTTGAAAAACCAATCGAAAACTATTGTGAATTTTTATACAAAGACGAAGCGTCTCATCTCCTTTTTACTATGCATCATTAAAGTTTATGCGCGGAAGAAAGCTAAATTTCTTCTACCGTAAGTTTTAATGGAATTGGATATTGCATCGGGTCGCGCGAAGAAAGGCAAAGTTCACCACAAATGGAGATACAATAGAGTAAGATGTGACTAGATTTCACTGAGTGGAGATTACACGGAGCAGCAAGCTACTCGGAGTTAGCGTCGAGAATATCAAGCGTCACGTATATTAAAGAGAGCAGATTCAAAAACCATGACAAAGTATATTAATGATTTGTGTCCCTCTCAATTGGGCGCTAATTTCAAATTATGCATCTGCACAAAACGTACGACTGTAACATTGTCTCTGAAAATAAATTTGATACAAAGTAGTGAACAGAAGCAACGCAAAGTACAGATTATTCAAGTAAACGGAATTTATAAAAGACCCACGAACGCACGTCGTACGACGTGTTGTTTCTACCAAAATGGCCCGATAAAACTACACGCGGTACGAAAAATTCAAAGTTTTATGAACGAACCGTGATACGTTTACGATTCGCATAACTTTCGCGCACGTCGCATTACGATCTATAATTTCGTGTCGATTGCGGGTTTACTTTAACGCGTCGGGATTTCGTGGCGTCTATTGCGAGTTTCAATGCAATCGCGAATAGGCTGTGTACGGGCTGTGCACGGTTGTATACATGTCGCGCGTTAATCGGCCCGATAACGTGAAAAATTAATGCGCGGGCTCCTGTCACGCGATAAAGACATCCTGTATCGTTGACTCCAATTATACGGCGACTCGCGTGTGAATCGACAAGATAAACTTGTTCCTGCTACGTCCTGCTAGAGGAAGTTCTGGAATTAGTACGTCGTAAAAACTTTAATCAGTTCCGACGTTTATAAAATCTGGGTGCGCAAGATACCGTTTTAACGCTCCGACTAAAACAGTATTCAAATATTTTGCCGGTCTCATTCCCATTATAACGGCGATTTTATCGGTGCGATATCTACAGTAGCATATAAATATGCATTCGCATTGTTTGCATAGTACTGCGCAACGCACGCCGATCTTCGTGTATCGCTATAGGAAAAAAAATGCAGAGGCAAAAAGAGAACTTATATATGACGACAGCACGCAAAATACGACCGAGCTGTATTTTGAAACGAAGCATCGAAATGCATATCTGATCCGACTAGAAATATTTGCTATTGCAGTATTAAACATATTCGGGCCGATAGTTGCCTGACTTTTGCTTTTAACATATGCTACTCTAAATAAAATACTCGCGAAATAGATTTCTCATTTTAAGGGCAAGATTTGATTTTTTTTCTACATATCTCACACATGCCCGTTATTAAATTCAAAATTGTTTAATAATCGCAAAAGTGTTTCTCATGTTTTTTTAAACAACTGCTATTGCGATCAAGCTCAAATACCACAAAACTGTCGACAATTTACGTTATTTTAATATCGATTTTGATGCATATTTATATTTATTACATCTATCGATTTATCAAAAATAACGATTGAATATTCTCAAACTGACGGCTAGAAAAATGGAGCAAAAGGTGTGCGCGATATCTAATCTTACTGCTTCAGTTGTCACTATAAGTACAAGCATCAATATTTTGACACATTTCACCCTCATTACAGTGAAGTCCCTGTCGTTGTAAATTTACATACCTATATCATAAACATTTATGCACATTGTTTGCATTGTAAACGCACTGACGTTTATCTTTCTCGTGAAAAGCATCGCACGTCACTACGACATAGTTGAACTTGAACCTAGGTTATTCGGTGATTAAGGACACTGCTGTTACAGTAACCTTAATCCTCTTAAACAAGATATTGACAAGACTAAATTGAAACACATCGCTTTTTACCGATATTTTTTCAAGTATCGCGTTTGAAATAATACACATGGTAAATCAAATATTATTGACTTAGAAATATTTCCAGAACTATTTTTTTTATTTGCAATGATACGTTTAATGATGATATTTACCGATATGCTAATTAAGATTTGCTGGCGTGATTACATTAACATATTCGTCAGGTATAACAAAAATATTCGATAATTGCATTCTATTAATAAGATCGTACACGATATTAAATCAATGCATACAACGTATTCTATTATGATTATGTATCTTTTTACAATGAAAAATATTGAATGCTAATACTTCTCAATGAGAGTTTTTGCAATATTAAACTTATAAAAGTTCGATTTTACGGTATATCTTGCGAAAAGTTTAACAGTTTTTAATTTTACATGAAATTTTAAATTTATCGAAGAAATATGCGTTTTCTAGCCGTTCAAATTATGAAATTTTAATTAATATATTTAAATTCCTCTGCATTTATATGTCTGTAGTTAAACGAACGTAACTCCAGATTATTGCAAACACACAATTCCGAATATTTGAATATAAATCTCAGTTCAAATAATTCATTAATGTTAATATAATCATAGCTGATGCGTAGTATTGACTCTGATATGCAATCAAATTTTTAATAAAATGGTATTACGAATAATATAGACTTTACAAGCCGAAAAACGAGGTTAACATTATTTTGTGATATATCACATATTCATCACATGTAGTAAATGCACATAATTCTATGTTGGTTTAGTAATTATCACAGTTCCTATCATGTTCATTCATAAATCGCATGCACTACATATCTATGTATGATTCAAGTAATTTGCCGATACTGCTCGTTGCAAGCTTTCTAAAGTTTGGCTTCAACTTTAATACCGATCCTAACATCGTATCTGCATCCGACAGTCGAGTCTAACAGATTAAAATCTTGATATCGATGCGTTATCTTCAGCTCATCATCTCTCGCTTGTTTCTAAATCGATCTATCCATCGGCTTTATGAAACGACGGCCGTTTCAAGACCGAAAAATTAGTAACGGCCGTTAAACTATGCGCGATGTTCATAAATCGACGCGGTTTATCGTAAGGCGATACTATATAAGCGCACACTTTGTTCGCTCGGCGGTATCTAGCTCGTAACGGCGCCTTAATGAAGTCGTAAAAGAGCGACGAAGTATGCAGGCGGGCCCTCTCGAGCACACTTTTATAGTTTCGATCAGATCGCCGGAAGTGCATTATTTTGTCTCGCGTTAATGTCGAGCACCAACACATTTTATTGCATATAGCCGCATTATAATATACGAAATGAATATAATTGCGCGAAATATAATATACATATTACATACACATGGAGGATCGATACGCGTTGATGGTATTTTCGTATGGCAATTTTTCATGATAATTTTTCTCGCTTTCGCAAAATAATGAAGCGCGCATTCTAGTCTGAGATGAAACGAGAGGAAAATATAAAAAACAGTAATAAAGCAGTCTTTACAAAATGAAGAAATCTTCATCGAAATATTTTATGAAATTCAACGAAAACACCGTAAGAGTTTGTACACTGTTTATTAATTATTTCAACGATATTTTTTTAAATTATACAAATAATTTGTATTTTTCTCTTAAAAAATGTTGACTACGGATAAAAAACGCACCGTTACATGCATTTTTATTAAACGATAAGCCAATTAATATAACGATTTCGTTTACGAATACATCTCCATGAATCAACAAAAACTCCAAATTAAAGCGGATAGAACCATGGCGCACCATCTACGATTCTATGGGTCCATGAATAGACTCGATGCTCACGCTGAGCAATCATGTACCATAGCTCTGTTTATATAACCATCCTATTCAACCATGAATCATGCAAAGAGAGACATCCTGACGAATTTTCCCTTGCTCCTATCAATATATACATATGAATTTGGTGTAATCCGCCACAATGTAAATTCATGATGGGGAATATTCAAACGGCGAGATCTCTCTTAGCTTTCAGTGTTATCGCTTTGATGGTTTTAACGATAATCGCAATTGAATTCGAACGAATCATTTTAATCAGAAAACTATTGCACATGTAAAAATAGATTATTATATTTTAGTCGAAATCAATGCAAAAGACGAAATCAATAAAAGTTGACATTTCTCTATATTTTCAAAAAATAATTTCAAAACTAATTTGTACAAATTATTTTTGTTTATTAATATTATTTGAAACTATTTTAGAGGATATTTAAAAACTTATCTTGTATGAAAAAATATTCAAGAGATTTATTTATTTTATTAACGGTTATTGAGACTATCTGTCAAATTTTTGTATAAAAATTTTTGTCTTAGAGAAGCTTACTTATTCACTACACAAATTCTCAGTATGCAAGATTCATACTTTTATCCTTTTACGAAAATTTTTGCATCAACTTTTAATATTACATTTTCACCAAACATACACACACATCCTCCAAATAGAAGAATACATGCGCATTGCGTCACGATTGTCTCAGAAAGATTGTATAAACGAATGGAAAGAACACGTCGACGTTGATGAAAATAACTCTTCAAAACTCTTCGGTGCGAACTTTTGTGCGCTTATATATATGTGTGTGTGCCTGATTTGCACATCGAGGCGAGGGGGCCCCTGACGAGTTTCCCCGCGCTTTGTCGGCCACGTCCGTATGCACGGCGTATAATTCGCGCCCGATGTAAATGCGCGCAGTTTGCTGCAGACAATCGCGTAACGAAGTAGCCAACACGGTGTATACGAACGAACCCGCTCTGCGGCCGCGCCGTATGATAACACCCGACTGTTTCCGACATGGCATGGCTTCCGTAGACTGCTGAGAATCCGTGACCGAAAAGTCCAGCCCCGAGCATCGCACGAACTTCAATTAGCGACCAACGGCAATTAACAGAGTACACGAGGCTCTCCCTCTCGCTTACCGCACCGAAAATTCTCTCGTGCAACGTGGGAGATGCGGTTGTAAGGTGCCCCACGCAAATTAATGGTTTGCTCTTTTCCTTTCTTTTTTTCGTTCCTATACCTTATTTTCTCTCTCTTTCTCTCTTTATTCCTCTCAAAAGCTCGTTTTCGCGCTGGATCGTAAGCTTTTTCGTTGCCGTTTCGATGAGTACAATCCCAAGGTATAAAAAGAGGGAAAAGCAAAAGCTGTTCTCTTGTACGGTTAATATTGAATGCTGGGCAAGAGCAAACGCGTGTTGCTATAGAAAATGTAGTATTTTACAAAAAATTTCATCGACGCGAAATAAAAGATAAATACACATTAATGTACAAGGTCTGATAAATAACAACTTTTCATTATTATAAAAGAACCGATCCCAAAATTTTCTGCGATATACTGTCATTAAAAGAATTTTTCATATTTTCCTTAAAATTGTTTGAAATTATTTTAAGAATGTGATTTTCTAAATTCTTATCAGTAGAAAAAAACATGTTTTCGATGCTTAATTATTTCGAGAGGATTATGAGGATGTATGTTTGCAAAACAAATTGCAATTAATAATACGTATACAATGCGTTTAGCGATTTGTAAACCGATTATTGACCAAGTCCAAAATATTTCAAATTAATAAGTTTTTATTTCCTTCGTTCGCCATAAACATTGCTCATTCGGATTTTTCACACTTTTTCACACTTTCTTTTTACTCTTGTCTTTTACCTTTTTGCTGATAAATAAAGCATAAATGTGTCAGAAAACACACATCGATATTCAACATTAATTTTATTCGTAGCGCGGCTAAATACGCAAAGATAGGATTAATCGATCGTCTTGATCGCTCCGATTTCGTGAATAAGATTGCTGGCGGTTAGCAAAGATACCTAGAAGGTACTTGAGGACGCTTATCACACAAACTCTCCAAACACAACAGACGTATCCGCAGTAAGTACCTGTCATAGTGGGCGTCACAACGACTGACACGTACAATGACAATCTCGTGTGACAACACACCGATATCCCTTAATCCTCGCTGACGGAGATGCACACATTCGAGGCGACACCGTAAACCAAAAGCATAAATCGAAGACCGAAGAGTGTGTTCTTGTGTTTTCGTGTGTCAAGGCGAACTTGTCCTGGGGCTTGTTAAAAATCACTCCTGTGTCCGTTGCTGAGACGTCAACAACAAGTGTCTTACACGATGCGACGCAACGACACGATAATTCGACGTGATCGTGCCAACTGAATGGGGTAATTGTTGACGGAGGAAACTGAAGAGTGATGGCACGTCGAGGTACGATTCATCTCGACGTGCATGTGCACGTGTGACTTGCAGTGCCAAAGTGCGAGGGAAGATCGGGATCGTGTCGACGTGGATCCTTGTGACGTAGCTTGACTTGGCTTGAGTTGCCAAACCGACTTCAACGTTGCGATTCGTATGCACAGGCAAGTTATTAATTTTTTAATAATAGTTCTGTTTACTCCTTGTTTATATAGAAAACTGAAATTTCTATTTCTTGATCAAACTTATAGATATACATATCAGGATTCTGAATTTGTGTTGAATTTTCAATTCGAGGAAATAAAATTGAAGAGACGAGAAACAATCGCAAAGATAAACAAAAGATTTACAACCAAATCTGTCAAATAATATACTATGAGAAATCTGTAATTTTTTCTATCTGGAATCATAATAGATACGAATAAAATTTGCATGAGAAGACTATACGTAATTCATGCTATAGTAATCCACTTGCGAAACTACGCAACTACGTCACGCATAAGTTTAAACTTTAGCTAGTCTTCAAATTGATGCATGAGAAGTTATGACATTTTTCAAGATCGTACAAGATCTGCGAAACTTTATAATACGTATATGTTGTAACACACATATATATTGAACACGTAAAATTTGATTAAAACTGTATTGAAAAGTAGAGGACAAAATTGAAGAAATTAAGAAAATATATGCATATAACGATAACTGTAACATGAAATTCTCTACAATTACAATCTCACAATATTACATTCCGCTGTAAAAGGAATATTGAGATATACAAGAAATTTTTAATTAAAATGTTTGTTCCTCTAAAGAGAAGTGTTTACGTATAGTTTTTATCCAACTTTTTATCAACTTCCATATGGTGCTTATAAGTACCGCGTAAAAATCAGCTCAGTGTAGAATGTCATAACTTTAATAATCTGTCCTACAGCGGTTTTTGACACGAGCTGCTTAAAACTTTTAGAGCAAGAACTCGAGGAATTTTTATGATATTTTTATAGTCTTTTCAGGAATGACTATTAACTCCTTTTCTATTTTAAGTAAAATATCTTACAAAATATTAACATGTGAACATATATACTTCCCCTGGGAATTTCTGATAAAATTTAAGATCGCAGAAATTAATTCAGATTATTAAAGTATCTCAGATATGCGCGTATATACATATATCATAAAGTGATTCGCATTTCTTGTCGATTGCAATTTCTAATAATAAAAGAGACTCGCATTTAAATCATACAATAGCATTTTGTGGAGATAGATATCCAATGATGGATAAATTCATATCAACTCTGCATACGCTCGTTAACGTAGCAATTTAGAATTTTATTTTTCACGCTTATACAATAAAAATTTACGCTCCAATTTCCCGTATTTTTACTAAACGTGAGATATACAAACCGATAAAACATTTCTAACTGATCTGATAATTAATCATCAACAATAATTTTAATCGCAATATATTCGTGTAAAGAATATTATACGAATATCGAATTATTTTTAAATTTGATTTCGTAGGAACAACTGTACTCAGTTGCATCCAGTTATTTTAGAATTCAGAAAATATGCAATCTTATAATCCTTATATGTCGCCGCGTAAAAGATATTGCACATCATATGCAGTAAATTGTATAGATGTCGTATACGCATTCACGCATTAAAATTGCTTCACCGAATAAGTAAACGAAGTAAGTCAATAAAAAATGGCTGTGCATTACATTGTTGACGCAAAAAATATAACGCAATATTATACACATATGTTTTTTCATAAAAATATACTTTAATTATGTAGCGCACCATCTATGCTTTCTTAACATGGCATTACTTTCATTTAAAAATAACGTGGCTTGTAAATGTTAAATATGAAAGAAATCATGATATTATATAAAATAACAATAGCTATTTATACTTTATTTATATTTTAGTAATTCTCGTCAATAGCGAAACTACGTTACACGACACGATGCAATTTTACTGTAATTAAAATCTTCCAGAGGATTTTTACGATATATATGTAAACATGATATTATCCCCTATGTAATCCATAACTTTAATTAATGCGACAACTCAGAGCGTAATTACTTCGGAATGATATTTTTAGTATATATTCATGTATGAATACAATCTCAGCATGTTGCATACATAACGTTTTAATACCAAAAATTTGCGCACCAGTTGCTTCTCTTTAGCAAATTGCATTTATTGGAAAAAAAGAATATATTTCAGAATAAATAAAAAGGATAATAAAAGATGAAAAAAAAGCAATTTTTTATATTAACGTTATTTTCTTAAAATTGTTATAGAACTGTATTTTAAAAACGCTTAGCTAAAGCAGTTTAAATTAATTAAAAAAAAAAGTATAGGCGAAGTTGTATCCAATGGAAAATCTGGAAATATTCATAATAATCTGGTTTTTGAATTTTAACAATAAAAAAAAATTATAATCTTATTAAATATTCTGGATATTATATTAAATATTCTCGTGCTGTAATTCTATACGTCTCTTTTCCGCTGCATAATTAATTTCGAAGTGCCGCTTCAGACAACAAGTGCAATATTACAGTTTCGGAATGTACAGAATGTCTGCTTTGCGGTATCCGCGCGGTCTAACCGACACGAGAGCTGCGATCTGACGAGCAAATCCCGGCCGCAAATTCGACTTGCACTTTCACAAGGGCGGATCCGCTACTTGGACCGTAATATTTGTGGCCACCGTAGAATGCGCCTACACAACCCTTTAAAGTGCCACTCTGGCGATTGTCGACGCACGACAAACGAGAACCTTTTCGAGATCGACTCTCGTCCGATTTGTGTTTTCCCCCTTCAGCAATTCTCGTGAACAGTTCGCCGCCAAAGAATGCCATTAAAGCAATACCGTAAGCTCGCTCCTGAATACCGCAACTCAGATTGTTACGAAATTGCGTGGAAGTGATTTTCTCGAAACTGCACGCGGAAGATAATGAGAACGACTCTGTTCATTTGTTAAGCGGAATAACCGACGAAGATTATTAGAATTCTGTGCAATGTAACAGTGGCAAAGCGACAGTGTTTCTGTGAATGCACCATGTTGGTCTCAAATTCCAGAATAATACATTTATAAAATAATAATGTGTATTAAATTTAATATAAATACGATATTTTAATGTTTCTTCTAATCTAGCGTCACATCTCTCTCTTAAATGTGCGTATCGTGTGTGTCTATATTATAAAATTTATATTATATATTATATATTTTATTATAATTATAATTATATATTATAATTTATATTATATATTATATATTATATATTAATTATATAAGTCCCTCTTTTTCGCAATGAGAAAGATATAATCTTTCATAAAAGAATGGAGATTTATGAAAGAGTCTGAGAAATAATTCAGGCGAATACTTCCAATAAATCGAGTCAAAACAACGTCGGCTGCCGGTCTGCTGTTGACACCTGCAAGGCAAATTAATTCGCGACAGCTGACTCTGTTGTCAGTTCGATTAAATGGAGCTGGGTGGAGCTGAGTGATCGTGTAACAAATTAGATCTGACTGTGCCGACTAGTTTATACTGCCTGAGACTATGCAATATCGCACATGAGAGATCTAAGTCATAAACTATTATTAGCACAATATCAATATTCAATATTGTAAATCTCATTTGATGCGTTATAGACATACATATATATACATATTGAGTGTATGTATTGAGTGTATGTAATTTGATACCTGTATTTGTAAAGTGGTTGGATACGATAAAAATTGCATGTTTTTTTCTCTTTATTTATTTAGCGTAGGTAATCTATAGTCATGTTTTTAAAAACTTAGAGGGAAAAAGAAATGAAAATCTAAATTTACAATTTTATCATTTTCCACAAATGTTTCTGCAGTTAAATAATTCGTACCAAAATAATTAGTATTTTTGTTACAGAAGATTAATTCTGCGTGTAAGCAGAAAACAATACTGCTACGATACTGTTTTAAGCGAAAAACGATAATCCGTGTCATTAATCAATGATGTCAACATATTAAATATACACAAACGTTTACGCGCAATATATATTCTCTCTTATAATTTTATCAAGTTAATTACGTGAAATTACACATTATATTTTCCGAGCAATCGATATCTTCTTAGCAGTCAACCTTTGTCAATAAAATGTCACAATTATAATTAACATATCAATAAAAGAATTAATATCAATATTATTAACACTACTTATGACAGAAAAGAGAACTTTTGCATCAATTATATTTATGTGACACTTTATATTTCACATTATCGTGCATATTATACGTTACATATCTCATTTTATCGATATAATTTAGTTATTTAAATAATCATTAAAACTAAATTTTCCATGCAATTGTCGTACTATTTATATTAATTTTATTCTTCTGTTTGATGTTATTAAATCTTGCAATGAAATATATCGTTAACTCATTATAAGTTTCAATTGATAGGGTAAAGAACGAGTGAATATGAATATATTTATTTACATTTAAATTAAACACAATTACTTGGCAATTCTGTCAAACATTTCTTCTCAATAATACAAAGATTTATTTCAGAAAAATTCAATAAAATATATCTTGTATATTATTATAATTTATGAATCTAAAAGGCAGCATATGAGATAATATTTTTATATTAATCATAAATAAAAAAAATCGTAATTATTCTTCGTCATTAATATTATGCACGAATCAAATTATAAATAAACACTAACTTGCGGAAATATAAACAAAATATTTTTTTCATTTTTTGATATGTGTATGGAAAAATTTCTTTTTCATGTTTGGTGGTTAATTCTAGGTTTAAGAACCTAACGATTTCGTAAACTTTAACGATTTCGCGTCCATCATCGTCAGCCAAAGTATTTACTTCATGCTAGCGAGTTTGCACGGGATAAAGGAAGGAAGGAAGTGCCGAAGGAAGGAAGAAAGCTAGGAGAACGTCACGAGAGAAAAGGGCGATCCATCAAAATCAAAAGAGCGCCGCCGCAAGCGCCAAAGGTCGTTTACTTTCCCTGCTCCTTGCAGGTACTTCGTTATTTTTCGAGACGCTTCTCATCTTTTTTTTTCTCTTTGTCCTCTCCGTTTATGTCATTATTCCTATACCTATACGTAACATTAGTGAAGTGGCTAGATAAATGATGGAACAAATAACTATGGATAA